CCTCCTGTTTACAGCCTCCCAAGAGCTGGGATTACAGGTGCATGCCACAGGGCAGGGCCCGCACAGCAGGCCTGGGGATCCAACCCCCAGCCCCTGTGTCGTCTGCCTTAGCAGGCGCTTTAATCCACTGGGCTATTTGGCTGGGCCTCCTTGTTTCTTTCTGTGGCTGGCAGATAATTCAGTGTGTGGGCCAGGTACAGTTTATTTAGCCAGCTTCCTAGGACTAGACCTTGGGATCATTCTAAGACCTTGCTCCTAGAAGTGGTAGTACAGTTTATGAAAAGGCATGTTTAGCCTTTGTGACGGCATATCCATGTGGTCGTTTCATGGCCTAAGGTGAGCTGCTTCTGGGAGACATTTCAGGGTTGCCAACCAACTTTTCTGTAGAATCATACATTGCTGAGTTTCCTTCTACCCAGGGACTCCGTTCTTTCCTGTCATCAGCAGAGTGTGAGAGCGTGTGTTTCTCTACAGCCTTGCAAGTCAGTATGTTGCCTGGCTTTCACATTTTTGAAGATCTAATGAGTGAGAAGTCAAATTACAGTTTGTGAATGTCTTTCATATGTTTCAAGTCCCTTTTCCCATTTTATCTTTTTCTCCTATTTTTGAAGAACTCTTTATATGCTGTATTAAAGAAATTAGCATTTTTATCATATTAATACTGTTTCCTTTCACATTTGAATCTCATGGTGGCTTTCTAAATCCTCTCCCACTCTTGTGAGGGGGGCAAGGCTGGCTCCAGGTGGGGGAGTGTTTGCTTGCCCATAGGTTCTCCACTTTCTTCTCTGGGGTCAGGGTGAGGAGCAGAGTAAAGAAAACAGAAGCTGCTTTTTCATATCTTCTCTGAAGAAGCTGGCTGCCCCTCACTGCTCTGTCTTGATTGAGTCTCACTTTACAGTGAATGACAGTTAAGTGCCATTTGTCCCTGGGGAATATTGTAGGGTGCTCCAAAGTCTGCATCAAGGCCTCTCCTCAGAGGTCACCCAGAATGTGAGATCAGAGTCTGGATCCCACCTTTTCTGTTTGTTTTCCCCTCTTTGCCTTCACTCTACCATGCCAGCCTCTTGTTGGTGAGATCTTCTCATTTGTGGTCATTTATCTACAGTTAGTTACTTGGAGGAAGATTGAAGTTGCACTTGGCATTGCTTGACTCACATGAAACTTAATAACTCTTAACAAACAATATCTTTGGGATATAGGCTTTTCCTTTCCCAGTTTCTGATCACTTTCTTTCTAAGCTTAATGTTCCTTTCCTGCTCCTGGCCCCCAAAATAGCAATTTTGGGGACTCTGCTAAGTAAGAAGAGGAATACAGCAGAAAAATATTTTCTGAGTTTGAGGGAGGGGAGATAGTCTAGCTTGCAATTCGCAGAATACAGTACAAGCACCTGAGTTGGTTTTCTCTCCCTGTGACTCTCCTTGGGCATACTCTATGACATCGATCACATTGCTCTGTGGCCCCATAATCTCATTGATCAGAAAATTTGGGACACAACTGAGTTACATGATGTTGCAGCATAGGTTCTCCTATGTCCTGAGTCCTCACTGACTTTGAAAGGCTAGGACCAAAATGTTAGCTGTCCTTGCAGCCCTTCTATTTCTCTAATTTTTAGTTTACAAACTTAGGTTGTTAACCCTCCAGAAGAGAAGCTTATTATTACTCTACAACATGTGCAGTTGGGTTTAACCTCATTATCTGTCTTAATATCGAACATCTTAGGCATAACATGGAACAGGTATTTTCCATCAAGTATTGATATGTTAAAATTTAAGTCCCAGGCTTTCACAGAGAGCAAATTGGTCAAATAATGGCCGTGACTCATCCACATGGCTGACACTGACAAAGGATCTGCAAACTGCGGTACAGGGTTACAGGATAAATCTTGAGGGTACTTGACTGACTTTATCAGATACAAAAGTTACATTTCTTGTTTTATAGGTCTTGCTTTATCTTGGTCTTAACCATCCAGCAGAAAAGTATAAAAATGAGGTATATAAAATAAAGCCATATTAATATGCTGAGCTGTGAAAGGCTCAAGTCAACAACTTCTACAGATAACCTACTACTATTGTGGACTGCTGGACTGTGTTGGATTGTTTTGCTGAATCTAGGTGGACAGGAGTTACTCAAATGCCTGCAAATGCCTTTGCTCTTTGAGTCACCAGAGGAATGAATACGGTCTTGGTAATTCTGTGATTCTTTTGACAAGCTCTGGCCATACATAATTGGCCACAGTAGAAGGAGGGTGTTAAACTTAGATATGAGGTCTGAGGTGCATTTCTTTTTCTTAGCAATGGACTTTACTAATCAAGTCCAGGAAAAGAAGAAAAATCTACTTAGTCCATAGAATGATTCTATTACACATGCATTTTCAACCTTTAAAACAATTCAGTGAAAATGACAATAAAAACTTCCATCACAATTTAACCATATAGAAACTGTCAGGGTTTCATAACCTACTAATTTAAAAGCTTAATCTACCACATATTTTTTATGTATTTAATACAGGGTCTACAGGGTCTCACTACATGGATCAGATTGTAGTAATCCTCATTTTCAACCTCCCAAGAGCTGGAATTACAGGTATGCTCTACCATGACCGGTCTCAGTTGCTGTCTCAGCGAGTCCCAGGGGCAGGGCTGGCACAGCACACTGAGGATTAAGCCCTGTTCCCTGTGTCTGACTAAGCAGGCACTTCAATCTTCTGAGCTATCTGCTCTCCACCCTGCCTTTTGGGTTGTGAGGAGCCCCCCCCAGCAGCTCGGACTCCTAGTTACCTTTCTGTCTCAGCCTCCCTAGTGTTAGGATTCCCAGCATGTGCCACAACACATGGATGATGGCTGTGGCTGTGCCCATCACCTGATATGTCCTTGAGAGCAGAGGCAAGATTTTGTCAGACCCTTCTGTCTATAAACCAAGTTGTTCACGAGCAGAAGCATTTGTGAGCTAGCATAATACTCGATGTCCCTCCTTTTAAGTTGTCTTCACTAGTGTCCTACTCTTACAATAACCACAGGTCATCAATTTATCATTCAAATTTATTTTCTTGATGAAACTTACAATTTTGTGTTATTTATTATATCCCAGTCAAACTTTATGCATAGACTTTACTTTGGAAGTTTCTTCACCAGAAAGCTAGTACAGGTTATGTTCAGATCATATTCAGTTTTAAAAAGCTTTATCATTACAGAATATAGAGAAGAATACATGTCACAGTGACTACATATTGAGAGAGATGGTAAAAACCAACAAGATTTTATTTATGGTTCTGTTTTTCTGACTGAAACATTGACTTTACAATAGTAAGGGAGGTCACACAAGCCTTAGAACACTTTTTTTTCTAACCCATGTATCATATTTCAGTCATATTTGGGCTGTGAGGGGCCCCGCTCCTCACAGCCAGTTGGCGGCAGCTCGTGTGCCGGCGCACCAGCGAGCACAGCCAGACTCCCCAAGCTTCTGTGGCAGAGGCTCACAGCCCTGAAGCTGTGGCTGTGTTGAAATGGCTCACCGGGAAATACTGCTTCCTCCAATCTCTCTGCAGTGTGTCTCTGCTGTAATGCCAGGCCACCCAGGTGGTTCCTCAGGGAGCTTTCCCTTCTTCCCTTGAAGTACCACTGAGCACACTTGGAGGGACCATCTAGTGCTGAGTGACACTGAGACAGGACTTCAGAACACCTTGAGTGCCTGTGTAGAGAGGGGCCAGCACACTTGCAGGGGCAGTCTCTACAGTTTGAAGAGCAGAGATGAGCAGTGTTTCCTTCTCCTCCTAAAGAGAATGAAAAATGGCTGGTATCAAAACAGTAAAAATATCTTCTCATTAAACATTTATTGTCTTTGTCAGTCTTAGAATTGTATTGGGAAATCTAGCTAGAATTGGGATTAGGTCAGCCATTGCTCAGAGGATTAAAATGCCTGCAAGCAGGCGTAGGGGTCAGAGGTTCAATCCCTGGGCCTGCTGTGCCTGCCCCACCCCTGGGGCAAGCTGAGATGTCAATTGGGACTGGGTGTGGTTGCATGCACCGGTAATCCCAGCTCTTGGGAGGCTATACACAGGAGAATTGCTATGAATCTGATCTAATAGTGAGACCCTGAACACCTTGTAGACCCTTTCCTAAAATAAAAATAAATAAATAGATAAATAAGAATTGGGATTATTTGGAAGTTTACAGTTTTAATATTTTATTTTCTATTTTTTTGCTGTTAATTTCTTTTTATAAATGTGTTTGGTACAGGGTCTCACTATACAGCTCTGACTCATAGTGATCCTCCTGCTTTCAGCCTCCCCAGTACTGGGGTTACAGGCATGCAGCACCATGCCCAGACTCAGTATCAGGATCAGTGCATGCTGTGGGCAGGGCTGGCGTGGCATGCTGGACTGGGGATCATACCCTGGTCCCTGTGCTGCCAAAGCAAGCACTTTAGTCTGCTGAGCTATCTTGCTGGCCCTTTTGCTGTTAATTTCTTTCAGTAATTTTAGTCCCCTGAAACAAATTATATTATTTTAAGATAACTTGGGAGTTAATCAACATAATTGTGGAGCTTTGGATGGATACTGTCTCCTACTAACTGTGAACGAATTTGCAATGTGTGCCTTTATGTATTTATCTATCATCTATTCGTCAAATAGTAACTGAGAAAAACACCAAGTATTGGTAAAACCTTATGGCAAAAAGAACTCAAGCTTTGGATGCCCAGCGGGCTTCTTACTGCCCTGTCCATGTGAACTGAATGTATTCATCCAGCAAATTGTGGGGCAGCTGGACAACTGCTGCCTTCTCCTGCAGGGATAGTTTCCCTGGGGTTGGGTTATCATGAAACAAAAGACAGCTCTCCTTGGACACTGAGAGTCCAAAGAGCCAGGCATGGACGGGAAACTGGACAAGCCACAGGCATGCAGCCCCCTGACCTTCCCAAAACAAGAAAGGGCTGGGCGTGCCAGCCACCACGAGAAGTACCAGTTTGTTATCCTGGAAACCTGCTCCAGCTCGTGCTTTGCCTCCAAGTGTGACCTATAAGTGTTTATTCACTAACAGATTATCACTCAGGAAGACGTAGGCCAGTCCAGAACCACATTGTACCTCAATTTTTATTTCTTTCATTGAGCTGCTGGGTGAGTGACAAAGAAATTCAGATGTTCTAAGCTAAGTCACATTGGGTGGTTGTTAGAATGGCAGTGTGAAAGTTGATCACAGTGTCATCTTGAGAAGGTTTTAAGCTTAACTAAGTAACTCAGCAGTTCTACATCCTAGGGTATAGAAGACAAGCCCTTGCCCCTCTAGGATGTCGTGCACTGTGTCAGCTAGAGAAGTTCAAAAGTTTAACAAAGTGCCTCAGCAGGGCACCAGGGTCCTCGCTGTGTAAATATCCTGAGGCTGTGCATGAGAAGGGCACAGAGGTGGTGTGAATGATATGCTCTTCTGAAGGCAGACAGCCTATGTAAGGGAGGAAAACAGGCTTGTTCTCCCCCTTGTGCTCCTGTTGCTTTTGCTCACCACCATGAACTGTTGCCACTCTGCCATGTCGCCCTGCCTTGGAGCCAGCTGACTAAGGACTGAAACCTCTACAAACTTTGAGCTAAGAAAACAAAAACCTTTCCTCCTTTAACTTTGAGTATCAGGTATTTTGTCTCAGCAATGAAAGAGAAATAAGATAGGCCATTAGACTTACCTTAACTTTTATGTTAAAAGTTTGCCAGTTTACCCTTAAGTAAAGTAAGTTTACCCTACTGGTCTTTAGGGTGGGAGGAAGAAAAGAAGCTACAAAAAGAGCTAAGGATCTATTTCTAATTGTACTAATAGGCTGAGCCTTCTAATTAAATACAGTAAAGCAACAATTGGGCAGAAGAAAAGTATAACTCCTCTTAGAGGGAGACTACATGCCAAAGTGACTAAGTTACTTTAGCAGTCAAAGTCCAACCCCTCAGGAAATAGACAAAGAGGGCACAGAAGCATCATTGCTGGCTTTCTTTGGGAGTAGCTTAAGAGAACTCTTGAAGCTCTAAGAACATTTTGGCAGGTTTTAGGACAAAATAGTAAGATAAGTTGAAAAATGAAAAATCTTTTTGCAGGGATTGATTAAGCTATTTGAGCTCTAGGTTGTTAACATTTGTTTGTGAGAGCAG